ACACACACACACACACACACACACACACACACACACACACACACACACACACACACACACACACACACAGTGTCACACACACACACACACACACACAGACAGATGGTTTATCTATAGTTCTTCTTTGGGTAAGTTTCAAAAATAGAGTGAATAGTAATGGTGGGCCCCAAGTTTTGTTGCAAAAATACATCTTTAGTTGCAGCTTTACAGGTCCTGGTAGTTTCAGAGGAAAATTATTTGCGGGCGGGGTCCCATTTCGTTGCAAAAATACATCTTTCGGACCGGTCCCCCAGAAATTTTCCGCTGGGCCCTTCTTTTTCATTCTTCTAGTTCTATCAACTTCTATGTGTCATTTTTTCCTGTCTTCCATTGTGTGCGTTGCCTGGTCTGGTCTTTCCCTGTGATTCTCCTCAGAGTCTGTCTATGTGAAAGCCTTGGAGATGTGCCTGTTTGTTAGGGGGCTGTTATGTTCAGGTTGCATGTGTGTCTGTAAGTTCTCTGGGTTCTCTGGGTCATGGCAGACATTCGTCGAAGTGACGCCTTGTCACCGACAGTGCTGCGAACCCGGGATTTGTACAGTTCTACTTGAGATGCGACGAGGTGGTGATCTGGTTTGGTTCATACTGTATGAGTGGACTGCCTTGTCGGTGCTGCCTTGCTGCCTTGCTGCCCTTCTGCAGGCCTTGTGTTGTTGTCTTATCAATTCTGGCCAGCTCCTTCTCTGCCCTCTTGCTTCTTCTGTGTTCTTCGTGGCTGCCACTGCCTGCCAGGATGCTCATCTGCTTTGCCCATCCCTGTGCCTTGTTGCCTTGTTACCTCCTAAGCTTGCCTTCTTGCCTCACTGCCTTGTTTGAAGGTGTTTCCTTTATAAATTGTTGTGTTGCTCCACTGTTGCCTGCTGACATATCATGCCGCTGTGCTTCTTGCCTCGCTGCCAGGACACCCATCCACGCCGCTGTGCACCTTGCCGGCTGGCTTTCCATTTGCTTTGTCCCTCCTCATGCATAGCTGCCTCTCTGGCTCATACAAATAGCAGATATAGATTCAAGGTAAACTGTCTGCCTTCTACGCAGGGGATATGGGTTCGATTCCCGTTAGCCTTCGACTGATTGCTTGCATCGGGTTTCAGGTTTTCTATTTCACTCCCTTTCTTAGGGTTCTTTTCACCTTTCCCTCACGGCTATGTGGCACCCTGGGCCACGGATCCTGCGGCCCAGTCCGAGCCCCGCGGTCGAGTTCCTGTGCGGCCGCGCCACGGCCCAGTGGGGGCGCGCGCGGGAGATCGGCGGGCGGCCTCGGCCTGCGCACGTCCTCCTCTAGAGGACTGCGCTTTCAATTTTTATTTTTTGGGGGGGGGCGGGGTTTATTTTTGATGAGTGAGAAAAATAATTAAATAAATAGAAAAAAATATATATGTTGATTGATTAATTGATTGATTGGTTGATTGATTGATTGATTGATGATTGATTGATTGATTGATTAAATGATTGATTGATTGATTGATTGATCGATTGATTTTTCTTTTTTGATCGATTGATTGATTGATTGATTGATTGATTGATTGATTGATTGATTGGTTGGTTGGTTGGGGGAGGGTAGCCCATCCCCCCCC